ACATCGAATGAGGCCAGGGGCTCCCAGACCTATGGTTGGCAGGTGCCTCAGGAGGGAAAGAAGATGGAGCCCTTCCTTGGGCCATTGAACCCATCACTGCAGCTCCCAAGCGTTTGACATCTGCAAAACACCATTAGGTAAGTGTTAACTTGTCCCCACTGCCAGGCCTAGTGCTTGTAAATGTACTGTGACGAGTGTAATGTGTTTATGAGAATGTGCATAATAAATTATCAGAAATAGCTGCACTTTTAATATCACTTAATATATCAAGTTTGCCTCGCAGCAGCTACAGCTATATTGCAAACACGTAAGTGGACTCATTTGCGTTGATGCTCTTCKATGCTCCCCATGCTGAGGCCCCAGTGTGCAAAGGAGGTGGGGGCCCCAGAATAGATGACTGCGACATCCCATCCTGACTTACCCTCTATCATCGAAAGAAAACTGGGGCTTCGTTCATCACCAGGGCGCCCTGCAGCGTGCAGCAGGGGCCTGTTGCAGAGGAGGCGCTCAGTAAACATTTGTTGAAACGTGGATTCATGAATAAATGAATGGACAAGGACCCCTGGAAGGCTCCTCTCTGCCAACCAGCAACAGTGTTTGGAATTCTTCCATTGCCTCTCCTTTGGGTTGAAATTTTCTATTAATATCAATACAAAGAAGTTTCTATTAGCACAGCTTGCCAGAGCGCCTCCAGTAATCAACGATGGGTAACATGCTAGGTCAGGGCCAGGTCCATGGACACCATCCAGAGGTGCCAACCAAGGACATCCAGCCAAGAGCTACATAGAGATCCCTCCCTCAAAATTGCATGGCACCTACTGGAAGGAAAGGCATTAAGTGATGTGGAACAAGAAAGAGTTCATGATATCCACAGTGGGGCCTTTCAGACTCCCCAGTGTGGCTTTGCCAAACCCCTTCAGAAATCCCAACACCCATCAGATGCTCACCTCCCTAGACAGGAATTGCTAAGTATCGAGAGATGCTGTGGATAGGTGCTGGGTGCAGCCAAACAGGTCGAGAATCACTGTGTCAAACCATTAGCACTTCCTAATCTAGCAATTCTCAGCCTTGGTTGTGCATTAACAAAAAAAAAAAAAAAAAATCCAGCAGGTGCTTGTTAAGACACATCTGGAGTCTGCATGCACATACTCTGGATATGTGGGTGTAGGGTGGGAACCGGGAATCTGTATTATTGTGGTTGGGTACCAGGGATTCAACTCAGGGACACTCAACCACTGAGCCACATACCCAGCCCTATTTTGTATTTTATTTAGAGACAGGGTCTCACGGAGTTGCTTAGCACCTTGCTGTTGCTGAGGCTGGCTTTGAACTGCAATCGTCCTGCCTCAGCCTCCCGAGCCTCTGGGATTACAGGTGAACACCACCGCACCCAGCTTGGAATCTGCATTATGAACAGACATCCCAGTGGTATAAATGCCCAGAGCATCCTTTGAGGAGTCTGCTTCTACCCCACTGGACAGGCGCCTTTGACAAGCTCTGTAGGGAGTGGGAATTGAGGGAGCACTCAGAAGCCTGTTTAAAGAAGCAGGTGGGGGACAAAAAGGGATGTGGGGCTCCCAATAGCTATAAACAAGGGCAGACGCTACTCACTTAACTGGTCCAGCCCACCCCTGCAACATAATTGATGGCTCTTGGACATGTCCAGCTGCTTAAAGATCCCTACACAGGCCAGCCAGCGCCCGCTATGGCAAATACATTCACTTCTGAACACGCTTCCTCTTGACATACTCATCTGGTCCTGGTGACGGGCAAGGAGAGCAGCCAAATGTATTTTACCAGTAGAAGAACTGAGGCAAGCACAGGGCCTACAATGAGGGCGGCACCAGGAAGGTGGGACGAGAGCTCCAGCCCCTGAGCACCTGTAGCTGCCAGGCAGCATGCCGGCCATTTTGTACCCCTCCTCACCTTTAATGCTCCCATGATTTTTAAATTTTCCATCTCATAGATGAGACGAGGGGCCTCAGGGAAGCCACTTGCACAAAATCAGACACAATTTGGAGGAGGCCGACACTGGCTTTGGAATCTAAGCCTGTCTCACTCCCTGATTCTAGAAACTGGATATATCTCCAGATAATACCACTTCTCCCCCCACTCATATGGGGTGGTGCCCTAGCACACCTGTGTGTGTCCCGTGAGAGTGAGTGGTGCCCGGCATGTGCTGGTGCCCGTGGGAATGTGTGAGCATGCGTCCTGCAGGTCCCTGCTCAGCGGGTTCACCTCTTGTCCTGCGAGTATGCAGAAGTGAAAAGGGTCCCACCCACCTGGCTACATGTGTGTGCATGTGTGGGGTCCCAGGCCAGCATGCGGGCTGGTGTGAGTGTGAGTGAGGATGCTGCCCTCCACGCTACTTCTTCCAGACCCTCCCCAAGAGCCCGCTCCCGCAGAGCCAAGAGCTGTGAACTGATCCTCCAAAAAGAGGCCAGGAGGCAGAGGTCAGATACCTTTCTCCATTCCCCCATCCCCCTCCCTAACCCCACTCCACAGAACACAGAAGCTAAACTTTGCCATTAAAAGGGCACAGGGTCAGGAGTCAGTATATCTAGGCTCTTGCTAGTCACCTGACCATCTGAAGTTTCGATTTACCCATCTGCAAAACAATGACCATATCCTCCTTGTGAAATGATGGTTGAGTGTCGCTATTTTAATACCCATATTATTACATAGTCATTTTATGATGCAGCCACCTCTGGCACAGAAAAAGTCACTGTGTGCCTGTGTAAGAATTAACCCCCCTTAATTAATCCTAGAACGAGAACCTCACAGATTCCAGGCTCTCCTGTCCTTCCCTCGGCCTTTGACTCTTGGAAGACTGAAATGTGCTCCACCAGGATCCCAGATCATCCTAGGAGTTCCTAGGCTAGGTTGTTCCACGGTGATCCCTGGAGAGGAGAGCCAAGTTCGGGTCCCTCTTCCTTCTCCCCCTTCCCCTCCTCCTATGGGCTGTCCTTGTTCAAGAAGCCTCAAGAGGACTTGGAGGAACAAGGTTTTAACCTGTGCACCCAGCTCTGTCTGAGCCCCCCTCTAGGGGGAGTGGTGGAAGGCAGTGTGGGAACAAAGCCATTGAAGATACTTGAATTCTAATCCCAGCTTCGCCACAGTCATCCCAGTCAAGTCTCTGTGCCTGAACCCCACCCCACCCCTCACCTTTTTTCCCATTTTACTTACTTATTTATATTTTCAGTGCTGGGCATTGATCCCAGGAGCATTCTGCTACAGAGCTGCACACCCCCAACCCTTAATTTTTCTATTCTGAGACAAGTCTTCCTAAATCGCCCAGGTTGGTCTCAAATTTGTGATCCTGTGAGCTCCACCTCCTGGATAACTGGGATTACAGGTGCACCTTGTGAGCCTKAATTGCCTTAACAGCACACTCTGCCTACAGAATGAGGTCATAAAAGGGATCAATAACATGACAGCCCTGGACATTCTTGGCACAGTATGACATGATTTTCAAAGGTGGGTAGTGACCACCACCATCTAACTCAGAGTAACTCTTACCTGATATGTTCAGTGCTACATGAGGGCTCACCCCAATTCTGTGAGGATAGAATTGGTCCTACTTCAAAGATGAGGAAATTGAGATTCAGAGGGCTCGAATGACCTGTCTTAATGGTGTAGCTGGAGGCAACAAGGGGAAAGGTCTCTCCTTTCTTTTCTCTGTTCCCCATCCTCCTCAGGATCTGTGGTGGGGAATGACACAGGCTTGTGGCCCCTCGTTCAGATTCAAGGGAGAGACCCAGCCAAGAAGATAAGGCGTCTCTTGACACGTCAATGGAAACCAGAGAGTAAACAGGATTCCATCCATGCCAGGGCTTTCTGGGGACACACCTGTGTCAGCTGCAGCCTGTTCCCAAGAGAGCTTTGTTTTCAGAAAGCTAGGCAGCAGCAGGACTTGGGCTGTCAGGGATTTATTTAGTTATCTGACCCTGTGGGTGGCCTGAGTGGGTGGGCAGGTAACACCCTGCCTTTCTACCTCTGCTTCATTGGTCATGTTCTGGGAGGGCATCCTCTGCCAGACCCTGCCTGTCCTCACCCTCTCATTGACCAACCCTTGGTCCAGGTTCTCATTCAGCCTGTCCTCCTGGGTCCTTCAAACTACTCACTGACCAAAAGAGATCTGACTTGAGGTTACAGAGTGTGCATGTTTGTGACCTGAAAGGAAGTGTGCCTAGATTGTGCCAGAAGTGCTCTGGACAACTGAGAGTGTACATGTCCAGTTAGTGTAAACACAGCCTGTCCCTTCACTCCTAGAAGTGTAGCTGTGTGTCCTGCTAAATGAGGTACAGATTTTAGGACGCCAGGCTCCGGTCCTCTGATGACTTCTATGGGTGTGTGTATGTGTCCTGCCTGTTAAGTAGCTTGGAAAACTGGACCCTGGATATCAGCACTGTGTGTGTGTGTGTGTGTGTGTGTGTGTGTGTGTGTGTGTGTGTGTGTGTTCTCTTGGAGTTTGGGGGAGGGTGCTGGGGAGTAGTACTGTGCCCCAGCAACCTCCCCGACTCTGTATATGTGCATGTTTAGTGTGTCCGCAGCTGTGAGTGGGTGGAAACTTCCACTAAGTACCTCTGTATACGTTTGTGTGTGCTTGGAGTGCCCCCCTGCACACCTGCGTGTGTCCTGTGAGAGTGAATGGTACCCAGCATGTGCTAGTATACGCGGGAATGTGTGAGTGTGCATCCTGCAGGTCCATGCTCCGCTGTCTCTCCGCTTTGTCCTGCAAGTGTGAGTGAGTGGAAAGCGCGCGCGCGCGTGTGTGTGTATGTGTGTGYGCGCGCGCGGGGTCCCGGGCCAGCGTGCGCGCCAATGTGAGTGCGAGTGAGTGTGGTGGCGCTCGACTTGCTCCGCTCGCTCCTCGCTCGGCGCCCGCCCGCCCGCGCAGCCCGCACACTCACACTGCTTGGTTGCTACCGGGTGACGCGGGCTGGGCCCGCCCCCTGCCTGCCGGCCCCTGGCACTCACTCGCGCCGGCCGCCGCGGAGCAGGCAGCAGCCGTGTCAAGGCCGTCCGGGGGCACCCCGGCGATGCCCGCAGCCCCCTCCGCGCCCCGCCGGGCCTGCTGAGCCGCCCCCGGGCCGGGGTAGCGCCGGGCCCGGCCGCGCCCGGGCGGGGCGGCGCTGCCTGTATGACCCTCCGGCGGCGCGGGGAGAAGGCGACCATCAGCATCCAGGAGCATATGGCCATCGACGTGTGTCCCGGCCCCATCCGACCCATCAAGCAGATTTCCGACTACTTCCCCCGCTTCCCGCGGGGCCTGCCCCAGGCCACCGGGCCCCGCGCGGAGGCGCCCCCGGACGCCCCCGCACGTCCGGCCGCGGCCAGCGCGGGCCGCCACAGCCCCTCCGACGGCGCCCGCGACGACGACGAGGATGTGGACCAGCTCTTCGGAGCCTATGGCGCTAGCCCGGGCCCCAGCCCCGGTCCCAGTCCTGCGCGGCCGCCGGCCAAGCCGCCCGAGGATGAGCTGGACGCCGACGGCTACGAGTCGGACGACTGCAGTAAGTTTCCAACTCGCGGACTTCTCGCCCTCTCCCCTCTCCGTGGCTGGCGTGACCCCCGCGGGTCTCGCGCGTGTCCTTGGTCCCCTTCTCGTCGCTCTCCCTCTCCCTCCGCGTACATCCTCCGCCCGGCTGGCCACGGCCCCGTTGCTAGCTCGGTGCGCTCTCCGCGCGCCCTGCAGACCCGCTCCCGTACCTCCCCCGACCTGGACGCAAGAGGTGGGAAGTTTGGGGGCGCCCTGCGGGGGTGTCCCATTTATGGGCCCCAGCTCCCGGGAGCCAGCGCCGCGCCCCCTCTCGGCCCTCCCGCCTGGAGACCCGGTGCGGGAGGCGGCTTTTGTTCCCGGGAAGGGCGGAGCTGCGCCCCGGGGAGACACCAGTTGCTGCTGGCCGCGCGGTCGCTCCCCGCCCGCGAGCTAGCTGCCGGCAGCCTGGCAGCCGAGGGTCGAGCTGGAGCAGGTTGGGGAGGAAGCTCGAGGCTGGGGCCGGCCAGACTTCCCCGGTGGGCCCGGCGGCCCGCACGGCGCAGCGGCTTTGCTGATGCGCGCGCCGAGGACCAGGAGGACCGCGGGGCCGCTTGTCCTTTGGAAAAACCTTGGCGGTTCTCCTCCTGCGTTCATGGACCCCGCCGCCGCTCTCGCCTGGCCTGCGGACCTTTGCCCACCTGTTACACCTGCTTCACCCCCGGCAGGAAGGACCCCCAGCCCGCGCCCACTCCTCTCGGGACTGAACCCCAAGGAGCAAGCAAGCGCCAGGGTCCCCGGAGCCGAGGCCCGGCCGGCGGGCGCCCCTGGCGCCTTGTGCTATCCCTGAGTGTGCCTGCCCGGAGGGATCTGGTACTGTTGGGGAAACCGAGGCGGGAAGATACCGAGATCTCATGCCCAATAGGTTTGCGCGGGGGTGGGGGTGGGGTAGGAACGCAACGTGAAAGGCCCCCAACCCAGCTGTGGCCCCAGCCAAGTCCCTCAGACCCGGAAAATCGGTTTCAAAACCTCGCCCTTCCGCGGATATGAACCTTGCAGGGCTGGGGGTCCACGAGGGCTTCCCCAGGGCCTATAGCCCCTCCCCCGCGCAGCAGTGGTAGAATACGGCTCACACGGGCCTCTGGACGGGGCCTGGAGATTCTCTGAGCTTAACATGTGCCTCTGGAAGCTGAAGGCGGGGGTTAAGAGTGCCACCGGTATGCAGAGCCCACATCCTTGAACCTGGGGAGGGCCTATCAGCAACATTGGGTCCAAGCCCGACTCTGTAGAGAAACCACCTTGGGTGCACTTTCTGGAAGCCATGACCACATCCCTCTGGGCCTCCAGCATGTTAAGGCCCTGCCCCCAAGAGTGGGACTGGGGAGCAGTCCTCTGCCTCCACTTGCCTGCTGGCTTGGGGAAATTGGGTCGGGAGAGTTTATTGCCTGCAGGGCTATGCCCTGGATCTGCCCACCCGCAGCCCTGGAACCCTGTGCAAATTCACCTCCTCACTCACTGGCCTCTGCAGAGGCCTGAACCAGGACCCAAGTCAGTTCTTTGCCTGCCCTGGATCTAAAGCCTAGGAAAATTATTCCTATTTCCAGTATCTTGGGTGCTGTGCGAAGGGAGTGAGCCAGGTGGGCGGGGCTTCTGCTTGAGCTTCAGGCCACCCTCCTGCTGCCACAGAGGGCCCTCTGGATGACATATAGCCAAGAGTGGAGAAATTTGGTCATTTCTTTAGGCTGTCCCTGAACCCACAGGTGACAAAGGAGCCAGAAAGTAAGTAGCCCAGGCCAGCAGCCGGGGTCTCAGTCTATCAACTCAGCATTAGTCCAGCTGGAGAAGAGGAGTACTGGGTCCCGGGCCAGAGCACACAGGGGTCCTAGCTAGGGACAGACTCACATGGTTGGGCAGTACAAACAGTTCTGGACACAATTTAGCCAGCTTGAACTGGGAGTTGACCACACCCATATCACCAGAGCTCAAAAGAAGTCTGAGAGAGAGCAGAGCTAAGGAGGAGGGTGTGTGGCTGATCCAGGGTGGCTGGGCTTAGCCTCACCCCCTTTAAGAGCAGCCCAACCTTGGCTTAATTCCCATCAGTGGCTGGGAGCACAGAAATCTTGGCTGCTGTCCTTGGGGGAAAACGTTAGGAGGGCATGATCACCCTCTACCCAGTGCCCCCCGGCAGTGCCCCCTTTGAGCTCTGACAACCAGATCCCTAGAATAAGCCTAAATGATTCAAGCCAGATGGTTCATTACGGCTTTAGCCAGGGTTATGCTATTTGCTGCCCTAATTATTGGATTATCTCTGTTCTGACAAAAAGAAATGAGGGCGGTTGCTGTGTTGTCCAAGCTGAGAAAGAAGTGTTGTTTATGGCTTGGCCATTGTCCCCCTCTGTAAGCCCATCCTTTGGTAGTCACCTCAAAGAACACACACACAACCCACATGCTCCCAGCAGACCTCATTGAGAAAAGGCCGAGTGCTGGAATGAGAAGCTCCACCCCCTGGCTTCCCTCCCAGGTGTCCTAAGCTGATTACCGGTGTGCTCCCTCCAGATGGGCTGCCTGCCCTCCCATGGCTGCACAGGCTGCCCCTGCCTGAGATGCTGTCCCATCCCATCTCCACCCGCAGAACCCTGTTCCGTTATTCAAAGCTGTGGCGACTTAAGTTAGTTGCTTTGGGTTGCAAATCATGGAAAACCAACTCAAAGTGGCTTAAACAAGAACAGAGTCTTGTGGCACCTGGGTGCACTGCTGTAGTGGCTCCTCCACGCCATCAGGAGCAACAATACTGTTTTTCCACTTGGCCAGCTCTTTTCCTCTTGGGCTGAAAATCAGGACAGATTTCTATTCCCAAGGGTATATGGGTGAGGTTCTAGTGATGCAGTCGGTCTCCCATCAGATGAGCAGGATGGCTGCTGTGGGTCCAGGCATCACATACAACAACAAGGTCCTAGATTTGATAAGGATCAGTTTCCTCCCCACATCTGTTCGTTTAAGATTGAGGAAACTTCTCCCAAAAGTTCCTGGGGTGTGAGGGGAAAGCAGTGGTATAGCACTTGCCTCCCATGCACGAAGCCCTGGGTTTATCCCCCGCCCCACAAAAACAAAAGTTCCCAGGAGACCTGTCCTTTTGTCTCGTTGGCTAAAATTACATCATATGCCCCTGCTTAAACCTGCCCCTATATGATTCACCCTGGGCCTGGCTCAGGTCTGATGCCCCTAGAGGCCTGGAGGGGGGGTGAAGTGGAGGAGTCAGCCCCAAAGGCTCTGTGTGGCTGGGGGCAGATCCCACTTCCCACTGGATGTGGTTCCCCATCCTTTGAGCCATCCCGGGACCTCTTTTGGCCTCAGTCACATTCTGCCCAGACCTCTTCATATTCAGGCACTGTGCTAAGTCATGCCTGTGACACGACCTCTGACCTCAAGGTATTCACAGAAACCAAGACAAATGAGCGGCCCAGCAGCTAGGGAMAGGAAGGCAGGAGCCCAAGTAAGAAGCTTTGACTTGCTCAGAGGGCACCCACAGAGAGGGCTCTGCTCTGAGGCTGAGAGGAAGGAGGAAGCAGGCTGGCAGAGTGGAAGGAAGAAAAAGAACAGCTGTGTGCACAGGTGCCGAGGTTTTGGAAACAAGCCCAGCGGAGGTGCAACAAGAGAGCCAAGTGGCTGGGGCAGAGGGAGAAGACGTGATGAGATCAAAGTGGTCATATCACAAAGGGTCTTGAATGCCTCGCCAAGGAAGTTGAACTGAGTTTGGGAGGTGACAGAGGATCTTTGAAGAATTTTAAGCAAAGGAACAAAAAGATTTATAGAAGTCCTAAACTTTTGCTTCTAAGAACCTGGGATTCAGGAATGTTTAACTCATTCCTCTCCCCCCTCCCCTCCCCCCGCATGTGGTGCCTGGCTCAGTGTCTCAGTTTCCCCAAATGGGAAAGCTTTTGACTTAGCCTTAATAATTTTTCTTTTTCTTTTTTTTTTTTTTAACAGTACTAGGGAATTGGAACCAGGGGCACTTTACAATTGAGCTACATCCCCAGCCATTTTCTTTTTTCTTTTCTTTCTTTCTTTTTTTTTTTTGAAACAGGGTCTCCTTAAGTTGCCTAGGCTGACCTCGACCTTGCAAACCTTCTGCTTCAGCCTCCCAAGTAGCTGCAGTCACACGCATGCACCACCGCACCCGGAATTTTCTATGGTTTTTGACAGTTTTTTTTTTCCATAATTATTTTAGAGGCTAACATTTTTCTTCAAAAAAAAAAAAAAAAAAAGACAGATTTCCCATTCCCAAGGGTGTATGGGTCAGGCAAGTTCAGGTGCAAACCCAAGGTCCTAATGAGGCTGTCATTCTTCACCGAGAAGCCGGGGAATGTTTAGCTTTAGAGGAACCAACCGGGGCTGGAGCTTGATTTTCTCTGAATTAGCCCCATTAAAGCTCTATAATTATCGACAAGCGGGTGACAAATCTCAAAGGCCCATTAGTGACCAACCCTCATTATTTTTCCAGAGATGTAAACTTTTGTCGGGGCATGTGATTCGAGTGGCCCCAAGGGCAGGACACAGCAGGATCCTGTGGCTCGCAGAGAAGCACCTTCTCCTGCCCCCAGGACCCTCCTCACCCCTGCCACCACCCAGGGTGTTTGCATCTCAAGCCCTTCACGGGCAGCTGGGAGTCCCCCAGCCCAACAGCAGCCCTGCTTCCTCTTCCTAAGATGTTGGCTAAACAAAGTGGCAAACAAAAATTTTCCAGAAGCTACTAGACTTTAGGATAGAAATTATCGGGGCTGGGGTGGTGGCTCAGTCGTGGAGTGCTGGCTTGGCATGTGTGAGGCACTGGGTTTGATTCTCAGCATCACATATGAATGAATTAAATAAAGGTCTGTCAACAACTAAAAAAAGAGAGAAATGATGCGGTCCTGGTGGGCCACACTGGCCAAGCCATTTCCCCTCTCTGAGCCTTAGATCTTCAAATGGAAAGGAAACAGTTTGGGCCATATGCCCCCTAAGAGAGCTCTCCCCACTCCAGAATTGTGACTGAGCTTCTACTTATGAACAGAACTTTGAGTAGAGTCTGGCAGGGTGGTGCATACTGTAATCCCAGTGACTTGAGAGGCTGAGGCAGGAGGATCGCACATTTAAGGTCAGCCTCTACAACTTACAAGATCCTGTCTCAAAAAAAAAAAAAAAAAAATGAAAAGGGCTGGGAATGTAGTGGTAGAGGCCCCCTGGGTTCAATCCCTAGTACTAGTACCCAGGTCTGCAAAAAACACCTTTTAGTGGAGTTCAAAGAACTCAGCAGCCCACCCCGCCTCCCAGGGATGCACTAGGCATATGGTTCTTTCCCAGGAAGGTGTCCATAGGTGTCCAGTTTGAGCAGGACAGCATCTTTAGACAGAGCCGTGGAAGGGGCTCCTCCCTTCTCCTGGAGCTGTGTTCCCGACGGGGAGTAGGCCACCCTCTCCTTCATCCTTCTCTGGGTGGTTCCAGGGATGGTGAGTCCACCTCACCCACAGGTGAGAGCCAGGCTACAGGCAGCAGAAGGCCAGACTCAGTTATCACTAAAGCACATTTTCTTTTTTTGGAAAAAGGGGACGGGTTATGACAGATTGAACCCAGAGGCACTTAACCACTGAGCCACATCCTCAGCCCATTTTAATTTTTTTTTTTAATTTAGAGACAGGGTCTCACCCAAGTTGCTTAGGGCCTTGTTAAGTTACTGAGGCTGGCTTTGAACTTGCAATCCTCCGGCCTCAGCCTCCAAGCCGCTGGGATTACAGGCACTGTGCCTGGCAACACATTCTTTATGTTAGGCTCTTGGTCTGGACACTGTTCTAACAAGTATTATCAGCTGGTTTCGTGGAGGGAACTACCGATGAGGAGAGAGAGCTGTTTGTGTTACAAGAGGCAAGTACTCTAATAGGATTTCAGGGTGATTCAAAAGGAAGAAGCGGAAAAGTGAAGGATAACCTAACAAAGGACCAAGCTTGGGACCACCAGGTGGAGGGATCGCCTCACACGGCCCCCCATGTCTGGGCGGTGACAATGACCCACAGGCGAATAATCATCGTCATAGCAGTGACTTGGGTTATTTAGGAAAGCTTAAATGACCACTCATATATCCTGTCCCCAAAGGCGGGGTGCTGGGGGACTTGGTGATCCAATTTAGAACAGGTTCCTTCCAGAACGGGTCTCAGAGGGGCAAGCACAGTTATCTAGAAGTCACCTAAATGAATCTGCTCCTGCAGTAATTATCTGCTGAGCACTCGCTGTACCCCAGACACTGTGTGCCAGGGTTGCTGTCTCCCATCTGTAGATGAGGCAACCGAGGCAGGAAGAGGTCACCCAGCAAGGAAGTGCCCAAGCAGGATTTGAACCTGTGGAGTCTGACATCGGGTGGCACTCCACACTGCTGCAGGCAAGGACAGAGGCGTGAGCCGTGTGCCTCTCCTGGCTGGGTCCTGGTTAACAAGGCAAATCCAGCTCCGTGTCCTGCTCAGAGGAGAAAGGGCAGCTCCGCCCATGTGGCCCTTCATTTTCCTGCAGATTCAACAAACCTCTTCCCTGGGCCCCTGCAAGGGCCTAGAAGTCCTCAGACTTCATCTGCAAGGGCCCAGATGGGAAGCATGCTCAGGTTGGAACCATGTTCCCTTTGCAGGCCATGGTCTGGGGCAGTCTATGCAGATGGGTGTGGTTGGCATTGGCCAGTGGCTGCAGCTCATCCAGACCAGAGCTGAGAGTCTAGGGCAGCCCCAGCCTGAAGACAGTCTTGTGTGTCTGGCCCTTCCCTCACCCAGCATCACTGCAGCCACTAAGCCCCCACTGGCCAGGTGGCCTGTGTTTGGAGTATCCCCTCCCCCTGCCCCTTTGTGCCACTCCTCAACTCCCACGATCCTTCCTGGCTCAGGTGAAGCATCACCTCCTCCAGGAAGCCTTCCCTAGTGGCCCCACTTTGCCATGAGGCCCCGTGACCCTCCTCTTGGCTCCTTCCTGGGTTCTGACAAGTTCTTTCCATCTGTGCTTTTCTTGGGGGCAGAACTTGCCTTATAGCTCTCTTGATCCCTAGAGTCTAGCTTATTATAAACACTGGGTTAATAAAGAATGAATGAGTAAGACACCAGTTGAGGGGCAGGGGATATAGCTCAGTTGGTAGAATGCCTGCCTCGCATGCACAGGCCTTGGGTTCAATCCCTGGCACCACACACACACACACACACACACACACACACACACACGCACACACTCTCTCACTGGCACCAGTTGATCAGCCCAGCAGCTTGGGAGCAGGATCAGGGCGTGTGAATGTACATCTCACTGTCTGGGACCTGCCCCCAAGGTCTGCTGGCCTTCCTGCTGGGAACCGCCGGGGCCTGGAAAGCCACCGCTGCTCTGAGTGACTGCTCCAAGGGTGGCAGCTGCACCCAGTTACAGCTGCCCCTCCTCCTGGCCCTGGGGAACTGACTTGGGAGCAGCCGCCCAAGGACCCAGGTGGCCCTTTGCAGCCCACCCAGGGTCTCAAAAGGGTCAGAGAGACTGCACTCCACAGTCCCACTAGTTGCAGTGAGAGCATCAGCTGTCAGCCCAGGGCCTGTAGCTTTCAAAGCCCCATCACCTCTGCCTTGTCACACAATCCTTATGACACTTCACAAGTGAGGGAAACTGAGGCCCAGAGCCCAGGACAGCAGTTGTACATGGCAGACAGGGTGCTTAGCACAGGTGGGCACCACACTGGGCCAGGGCCAGGCCGGCCCTCGAGAGCGGTCAGGCTGTAGGCTGACTGGGTGTGACTCAGGGTACCATCTGGGGGCAGGGGATGAACCTCTCCTCTCTGAACCTCAGCTCCTTATCTGAAAAGTGGGAAGAATATTGCCACTTCCCAGGGTTCGGTGGGATGGGAGGATGAAGAAGCATATAATTGGTGATCAGTCAGTGTCTGTGGTCCTTGGGACTGGACTCCTCCATTCCTGGCTATTGGGGAGGGGGGAATTAGTGGTATGCCTTTACACTTTTTAAAAATATTTTTTAGTTGTCAATGGGCCTTTGTTTTTTTGTTTTTGTTTTTGTTTTTGTTTTTGTTTTTGTTTTATGTGGTGCCGAGGATCGAACCCAGGGCCTCACACATGCTAGGCGAGCGCTCTACCTCTGAGCCCCAGCCCCAGCCCCAGCCCCGCCTCTCCACTTTTACCTGTTAGCTGGAAGCAGTAGTTTTATTGCTAATGTAGTCTTTCCATTTTCTTTTTGTAAAACTCGAGGGTTATTTTTTCCCAGTGCTTAGGGATGGGACCCAGGGCTTCTTGTATGGTAGGCACTAAGCCCCAGCCCTGTGTATCTGTCTTTATTCATAAGCATTGTGGACTGGAATGGCGACGSTCATTGATGTGATTGTGAACATGTGTCTGTGCCCTTAAGGAACCAGCAGTGTGCACTGCAAATATGCGTAGTTCCTTAATCTCAATACCGAAGCCATTTGGGTAATTTAAAAACATTATTAATGGTATCCTCGTATCGTTTTACTAAGCTTTGCTATAAAAGTAATACTTTGGTTGCTTTAACTAATTCCAGCCATTTAAAAATGAAAATGAAACAGGGCACAGTGGCACATGCCTGTGATTTCAGTGACTCAGGAAGCAGGGGCAGAAGGATCGCAAGTTCAAGGCCAGCTTGGGCAACTTAACAAGGCCCTGTCTCAAAATTAAAAAGCAAAAAGGACTAGGGATATAGCTCAGTGGCAGAGCTTCCCTGAGTTCAGTCCCCAGTGCAGGGGAGAGCTGGGGGAACAAAAATGATTTTGCTTTTCGGTTTGTACAGCAGCCCTGAAGACAGCGTCGATGCAGCAAGGATCTGTAAAGGGTAGATAGAGCAGTGCTTGTGCAGGAKGGGTATGGGGGTTTAATTTGTGTAAACCACTGATGTTCTGTGAAATTGGAGTTGATGGCCACATTCTGTATACCTCCTGCATATTCAGATATCCTCAGAAGGAGCATGAGAGCCCAGTGCAGTGGTGCATACCTATAATCCCAGCAGCTCAGGAGGCCGAGGCAGGAGGATCGCCTCCAGTTCAAAGCCAGTCTCAGCAAATTAGTGACGCCCTAAGCAACTGGGTGGGACCCTGTCTCTAAATAAAATATGAAAAGGGCTGGGGATATGGCTCAGTGGTTAAGCACCTCGAGGTTCAATACTGGGTACAAAAAAAAAGTGTGGCTCATTGTGTACAGGAGAGGGCGTCCCTTCTCCAAGATGCCAGTGTGTGACCTGTCCCTCTGTTTGCAGCCGCGCTGGGCACGCTGGACTTCAGCCTTCTCTATGACCAGGAGAACAATGCTCTCCACTGCACCATCAGCAAGGCCAAGGTAGGCTCCCGCATCCCAGTGTCCCTGCTCCTGCTGCGGCTTCTGGAGAATGGGCGGAGGCTGGGGAAGCCAGTCCTGCCCCTGTCCTTACTGTCCAGGCTTCACGGTGTCTGTGGGAGCAAATTCTTACTTAACGCATCTCAGCTCCTACTTCCCCCCAAAAAACTCTGCACCATAGGGCATTTGAGGGAAGGAGCAGGAGAAAGGGAGGAGAACGGGTATATGGAGGCCCTGATGGGACTTTCAGGGGACATGCAGACTGGGAGGACTGTCCAGGAAGGGAGTCAGTAGGGAAGACCTGTCCTGCAGCAAAGGAGGGCGCGAGGGTTGGATCTGATGCCACTGGGTCCCCTGGACCCCAAGTTCCCGGCTCCAGGGCTTCCTGGGCGGACTCTGCTGTCCTGCTCTGAATGCTTCGGGTGCCACCAAAGCAGGCTGACACTCCAGGTAGGGGTTAACTTTTGGGCCTGATCCCGAAAGGTCCCCGGGGCCCAGAGGTCCCCCAGCCAGGCCCTCCATTGCTCCCTGTGACTCTGCCCTGGAGCCAGGGTGTGCCACTCTGGGTTCTCAACCGYGCTGTTCCCTTCAATCCCCCACATGGCTCCTTTTTGGGAGGAAGGTACCAAAGTTGATGTTCTCTCGAAAGGTAAGGGCCCACGTGGCCAGCAGAGCCCCCCTAACAGGGCTGCCGAGGGGCCTGGGACAGCCCAGCTCAGAGGGAGGGGCTTCCTGCAGAGCAGCCTGGGCCCAGAGCCCACACCCTGCAGCCCCAACCTGCAGGCGCCCTCTGCCCCTCCCCTCCACCTGCTGACTGAGGGACTGACCTTGACTTTGTACCCACCAGGCTGCCTGCAGCCTCCCTAGGCTATATCCCAGCCCAGCCTGGGCCACCACCCTTGATCTGCCATGGGTGAGCATGAGTATGTCCACATGGAGACCAGGGGCCTGGCCACCTGGGGGCCACCGCTCCATCCCTCACTCTGCCCTCTTGTGGCAACTCCTCAGGCTGCGGCTCAGGGCATGCCCAGACCTACTCTGTAGGAGGAGAGCTGAGCATCTGGTGTCCCTCCAGCCTCGCCAAGGTGGAGGCCAGGCTGCAGGGCCACACAAACCCCTTCTCCTCTCCCTCCCCGCCAGCTTCGTAGAGATGGTCCAGGCTTGGGGACTAGCTGTCAGGCCACTCTAGCTAGAGCCCATTCCTTTTCTTTCCCATCCATCACTAGAGCTCTTCCCTGCCTCCTCTGCCCAGCTCCAGTGTGTTTTGTGAGTGTTTTGTGTGTTTTGTGAGTGTTTTGTGTGTTTTGTGTGTGCTCATGTCTGCGTGTGTCTTTTGGTGGGTGCACAGATCTAGTTGGAAACTGATGTGTACACATATAGGTGTCCACAGGGGGCACATTCCTGAAGGCATCAGAGGTTGGGGACAGAAACCCCCCAAGCCATGGTGGTCCCCATTCTCCAGTTGTTTCTGTGAGTAAATCCAGCTCTACAGGAAAGGGGTACAGGCATGGGTAGAGAACCTCTCAGGGTCTCTGGGGAAGCTGCACCCACTTGACCACACCCACCCTGAGTGAAGGTGAGTCTCTATTCATCTGCAAGGTAGGGCCCCTGCTGCCCCCTGAATGGCTAACACAGCCCCCAGTGCTCATGTGTGCTCAGGGCCTAACGCCTTCCTGGAGGCTGCACCCACCTGCACACTCACAGGCACCCCCAAGCACACGTGGACACAAGGGCACTCAAGTCCCAGAAGGGGCTGGGGAAACACCAACAGAACCACAGTCCTGGGAGACTCTGTTCTTTTCTCCTATTTTGGGGGGGTACCCAGGATTGAACCCAGAGATGCTTAACCACTGAACCACATCCCCAGCCCTGTTTTATATTTTATTTAGAGACAGGGTTTTTGCTAAGTTGCTTAAAGCCTCACTAAGTTGCTGAGGCTGTCCTTGAACTTACATTCCTCCTGCCTCAGCCTCCCGAGTCACTGGGATTACAGGTGTGTGCGCCAGCAGTTGCTGTTTTCTGACTGTGGTAAAATATACAAGTATGAAATTTTCCGTCATAACCATTTTTGATGTGTACAGGTCAGGGGTGCTAAGTGATTCATATTGTGGAGCTACACCGACAACATCCATTTCCAGAACGTTTTCATCTTGCAGTACTAAAAGTCTACCCATTCAACAGCTCCCTGGTCCCTCTCCCTGCCACCACCACCAGACTCTCTGTGCCCAGGAGTTTGACTCAGGAGACCTCGTGGGAGTGGACTCCTGCAGGGTTTGTCCTTTTGAGCTGGCTTGTTTCACTGTGCCTGATGTCCCTTGGCCCATCATGCATGTTGGAGCCCCTTCCTTCTAAGGTTGAAGAAACTTGAGCCTTTGCAAGTCCTGAAAGCTCCTCTCCTTGAACACTGGCAGCCTCTGAGAGGCCCAGGGCCTAGGTTTTGGGGGAAATCCTCTTCTCCAAGCAAGACTCTCCGTGCCAAGAGCCACCGGGGCCTCCCCTCAGCCCCTCACCTGCCTGCCCCTCCCTTAGACTGTGGGGTCGGCTTTTTGTCTTTCATAGGTAAGCTGGTGGGAGGCCTACCTAAGAGGCCACCCTCTTGCTCCCTGACCTGAAAACCCAATTTGACCCAATGGAGACATTTTAAGCTACAACAAATGAATGTGTAAGAATTGTAGAAATGTGTAGGGATGGAGGAGGTGGCACGCACCTGTCATTCCAGTGGCTCAGGAGGCTGAAGCAAGAGGATTGAAAACTCAAGGCCAGCCTCAGCAACTTAGTGAGGCCCTATGCAACTTAGCAAGACCCCCATCTCAAAATAAAAAGTGAAAAGGGCTAGAGAGCTGGGCACAGTGGTGCACACCTGTAATCCCAGCGGCTAGGGAGGCTGAGACAAGAGGATCGCAAGTTCAAAGCCAGCCTCAGCAATGGCAAGGAGCTAAGCAACTCAGGGGGAACCCTGTCTCTAAATAAAAAACAAAATAGGGCTGGGGATGTGGTCAGTGGTCGAGTRCCCCTGAGTTCACTTCCTAATACCAAAATAAATAAATAAAAATAAGGGCTGAGATGTGGCTCAGTGGTTAAGTACATCCGGGTTCGATCCCTGGTACCAAAACAAAAGAATTGTAGAAATGTGACAGAAGCCTTCAGCCATGCCCTGGTTGCAGCAGCCCTGATCAGGCTGGACCACCAGACTCCCCAGAAGAACACCACACTTGGCTTTGGGCACTCTGTGGGAAAGGAAGAGAGGCCAGGAGTGGGTCTTGAGGGAGCCTGGTGGCCATGGGCACCCACAGAGCCTCCAAGCAAAGCCCCACCCCAGAGTTGGGGCGGTGCAGGGCAGACCTGTGATCCTAGCAACTCTGGGTGCAGCTCAGAGACCCCCATTCCAGCCTTCACGGCTTCTCATGCATCTTCCCAGGGCCTAGCATATCAGAGAACAGGGCAGGCACCTGAGCAGGCCTGCTTCTGTATTGCTCTGACTCAAGGCAGTTGTTTTGTTGTTTTTTGGGTTCGTTTTTTTTTTTTTTGGTGGTACTGGGAATTGAACCCAGGGGTGCTTACCCACTGAGCCACACCCCCAGCCCTCTTTATTTTTTATTTTGAGACAGGATCTTGCCACATTACTTAGGGCCTCCTAAGTTGCGGAGGCTGGCTTTGAACTTGCAGTTCTGCCTCAGCCTTCCATATCTCTGGAATGACAGCCCCACGGCACCCAGCTGGAAATCAGAATAATGAAGCCCTTTTACAGACCCTAAAGCAGAGGACACAAAGGAATTCATCCATTTACCCAACTAATAAGTTTCAAAGGCCAAGATCTGAACTCAGGCCTGTGTGACTCCCAACCTGTGCCCTTTCCCAGTAGCTGACAAGCAGTGTGTGGGGCCCCCACTTGGGCCCCCCTCCAAACCAAGTGGTCTGGGCCCGGGAGAGGAGCTTGGGGCTGCCCATGGCCATGGGCCTGACCATGAGCAGTGAGCTGCCTCTCCCCCACCCAGCGGCTTGTCTGCTTCTCTATGTCCCCACGTGACACCCCAGAAGGAAGAAAGATGCAGTTTCCAGAAACAAGCCCCTGCAAGAGGTCAGCTAAGTCCCCATCTGTGGTTCCCTTGGTCACAGGCTGTGCAAAAGGAACTGAAAGCAAAGTTAGTGAGGGGTGCCATCTTGTGGAGGGACCCTCGATGGCTGGGCAGCCTGGGACCTCTGTGGACACTAACTGACTGTCCCCACGATAAATCCAGAAAGAAGCTAAATCTGGTCTCGCCAGTCTCCCAGGCCCTGGAGCACTCTCCCACACCCACCGAGGGAGCCGTAAACGGGTAGACAGGGCTATGGGGGTTCAGGGTCAGGGAGGGCAGTCTCTATCGGGGAGCTGTGTTTGAAAAGTGGGAGAGGAACGTCCAGAAGAGGGAAGGGCCGGATCAAAGTGGGAAGATGAGGCTTGACCAGGCCGAGGGGAGTCACCTGGCCTCCACGACAGGGAGGATGGAAAGAGAAAGAGGCCCGCGACGGCCGTCCCAGGCCAGGGTGGGGAGGTTGCACTGATGGGCCCTGAATCAGCCTCCTGCACCCTGTCTCGGGGTGTGGGGTCAGAGGGCTTCTGGGAAGAGGACCAGCAGACCAGGGGACAGGCGATTTCTGCTGGAGGCCCTGGCTGGTGTGTGTCCTCAATGGCCAAGTCATACCCTCTGCTGCTCCCTCTGCTCAGGGCCTGAAACCCATGGACCACAATGGTCTGGCGGACCCTTACGTCAAGCTCCACCTGCTGCCAGGAGCCAGTAAGGTAAGGGGGTTCCTCCCCAAGCCTGCATGCTCTGGCTGGGACACCCAGGGGATCTCAGCCTTGACCTTCACCAGCACCAGTCAGCCCCACGCCCTCCAGCCTCTCCAAGGACTTCCAGAGTCAGCATCACATATTTGATCAGTGGGGAAAGCACCCCCCTCCAGAGAATTTCTGGAACAGTGTTTTGTAAGAAGCCTCAGCTGGAGATGAATATCAAATGCCAAGATCCCGGCGCAGTGGCACACACCTGTAATCCTAGCGGCTGGGGCGGCTGAGGCAGGAGGATCACGAGTTCAAAGCCAGCCTCAGCAATTTAGTGAGGCCCTGAGCAACTCAGTGAGATCCTGTCTCTAAAATACAAAAAGGGCTGGGGATGTGGCTCAGTGATCGAGTGCCCCTGAATTCAATTCCAAGTACTATTAAAAAAAAAATTATATGCCAAGAAAAGACTCCTTGGCCAATAACGTGGTGAAACATTTTCCAACAGCTTTCTTGACTGTAGGACTTGTCAGAGCCTTTAGTACATTAATGGGCTGCTCTGCAGTTCTTCATAAGGGGGATTCAATGGCAGCACCTACCCAATTTATTTGGCCCCTGAACCCCTGTTCCCATACTGGATGCCACAACAGGCAGATGGAAGCACAGAGGGCGTGGGGGCACTATTCCAGCGTGGCCAGGCCACCCCCGAGGAGAGGATAGGTTCTAGACAGAAAGAAAGCCCCAGCAAAGGCTCGGAGGAGGGGGCTTCAGGGATGCRCCAGAAGGAGTCCATCCAGCTCCGAGGCCAGGTTCCCTCCCGCAGGACCAGTCCCCACCACCAGGGGCCTGAAGGTGGGGTCCCACTCACCTGAGCCTCCTGTCCCTGCTGCAGAAAATCGCCACAAACTTAGGGGCTCAAAGCAACACATATCTGTTATGTCACCACTCTGCGGCTGGACACCTGGCAGGGGTCTCAATGGGCTAAAAGTCAAGGCGTCAGAGAGCCACATTCCTTTTGGAGCCCTAGAGAGAAGTCTGCTTCCCAGCCCTTTCCAGCTACCAGAAGCCACCCACACCCACGTTCCTTGGCTCTTGAGTCCATTCTCGGTCACCTCTCCTTCAGAGGCTCTTCCTTGGCCCCTCTTCTGAATTTTTTTTTTTTTTTTTTTTTGGTGATACTGGGAATTAAACCCACAGAGCTACATCTCATATCCCATCCCTTTTAGTTTTATTTTTCAGGCAGGATCTCCCTAAATTGCTAAGACTGGCCTCCAGCTTGGAATCCTCCTGCCTCAGCCTCCCAGGTTGTTGCTGGGATTTTAGGTGTGTGCCACACACCAGCCTCTTTCTGCTTTTAAGGACCTCCCCCCATCACCAGGGACCACCCAGATAACCTAGGATAGTCTCCCCGGTTGGGTCTTGTTTTCACATATGCTAAGCAAGCGGCCTACCGCCAAGCCACACTCAGACAGCCCTATTTTGAAGTCCGCTAATTAACAATCTCAGTTCCGTCGGCCACCTCCGTTCACCTTTTGTGTGTCAGACWGCATGTCCTCAGGGTCCCTTGGGATTAGGCTATGGTCATCTTTGGGGCCATTATTCTGCCTCTGGCACTCCTTCAGTGCTAATAAGATCATTTTTCCCCCTTTCTCCAGGCAAATAAGCTCAGAACCAAAACTCTGCGCAACACTTTGAACCCCACGTGGAACGAGACCCTCACTTACTACGGGATCACAGACGAGGACATGATCCGCAAGACCCTGCGGTGGGTGAGGGCCCGGGGTGCGTGCTCCCCGCTGCCCCATCCCCGGGGGCCGCCTTGCCCACGCACAGCCCCACCCTTGACAAATCCCACTGACCCCGGAAGCAGACTGGGGGTGCACAGTGCGTCTGAGGTGCTGGCTGTGCCCATTGCCTCCAGGATCTCTGTGTGTGACGAGGACAAATTCCGCCACAACGAGTTCATCGGGGAGACCCGAGTGCCCTTGAAGAAGCTGAAAGCCAACCACACCAAGACGTTCAGCATCTGCCTAGAGAAGCAGCTGCCGGTGAGTGGGCCCCGGGCGCCCTCCAGCCACCACGCTGTGCCCACCCATCCAGTGCCCTCTGTGCTGGAGCTCGGGGCCAGGAGGATTTACTAAGCACCTACTATGCACCCCACATGGTTGTAGGTGCCTGGGAGATGGGCAGAACGTCCTGTCTGTTGTAGGCACCGGGCGAGGCTAATGAGCAGAGCAGAGAGAGCAAGGGAAGCGGGCAGTCCCAGGAGCTGAGATGGCGGGGGAGCTGGGAAGGACGTGGGCACACAGGAGGATGTGAAGCACAGGCCTTGCGTCTGGTGACATATTAACAGGCTCACTCCCTCCTGGGCTCAAAAAGGCAGGAAGAATTGGGAGGAGACGGTGAGGGCCAGAGACCCATGAGATGAGCAGGCCCAGGGCGGGGTGGGCTGAGAGGCTTGCTCCAGACTGAATGCACCAGCAGCCGGGCCCCCGGGCAGGCAAGGACAGGGGCAGTGCTGGTGTTCTGGGCTTGAGCAACTGGACAGATGAGGTGGCTGTTAACTAGGAGCAGCTGGGGCAATGTGGGCTCAGGCGCTCAATTGGACCATGTTAGTCTTGAAGTGTCTGTGAGATCCCCAGAGGAGACAGCAGATAATTTTTTTCCTAGAAATTGCAATTGTTTGCAAACAGTGTCAGAACAGATTTTGCCCTTCGCTGAGCCCTGCAAGTGTCTCAGTCTCTGTCTCTTTGCTCGCTCCCCCCGCCCCCAGCCTCCTCCTCTGCACCCCGGTCAGAGGGCTGGAGGGGTCGGCAGGAGTCCCCAGTGTCCTAGGGCCAAGAGAAACACTGGGTCCTCCTCGGCCCAGTGTTCAGGACACCGGATAGTGGCACAGTGTCCCCCCAGAGCCCCTGCGCTAGAGGAAAGGGAGGGAGGATGTGGATTCCCCGCGAGCTCAGCCCAAGCCAAGGCCCGGGAACCAGTCAACTGCAGCCCCAGCTCCCYGCTGAAGCCCATCCCATCTTTTTGCATAACCTGATCAAGTTTTATTCCCTTGTCACCTTCTCTCCCACTCACAGACGTTCATGTGATGGATCTGACCTTTTCTATTTTATTATTAGTCACTAACCACAGGTAACCCAGTTTTTCCAGATGATCTGCATCATTGAGGAGGGCTCTGTGGTCTCCCGCAGCAGCTGTGCACCCTCCAGAGTTCTGATCATGCGCATCAGCAACTGTGTGGGCGTGGATGTGTGTGCACGTGTGAATTGTGTGTAACCGTGCATCTGAGTGGATGTTCGTAAGTGCCTGTGTGTGTGCACGTAGATGCACAAGCGTGTGTGTGTGTGTGCACGCACGCGTGTGCCCCTGGCTTGGTTCAGGCCTTGCTGAGTCTTGCTTGACTTTTCTACAAGCTTTTTTGAGCAGTTTGGGGTCACACAGTGGCCCCCGGACGGCAGTTGGGATAACCCCTGTCAGTAAAGACGCACGTTGAATGTGCATTTTAGATTTTAGCGTCTGTATACATTCTTTGTTCTAAGTAAATACGGAACCAGATCCAATCTATTGGTCTTCATATGAAACAACCCAAATATAATATCCAGTGTCTGAAAAAAGAATAGCAGAAAATGTCTCTGTTCATAGGTACCAATTCATTTTCACATGTCACACCAATGCCCTCCGTCCCTGTGACAGTTAAATCTCACTCAGTCTGAGCCATTGGTACCGTCGGCCTGAGCACTGGGTTGAGAAGTCTCAGCTCTGGGAAGGTTTGGCCATGGACCCGTGGGAACTGCTGCGTCTGTCTACACAGCACAGTTCTGAGCACAGGCCAGGCCTGCAGGACAGGAGCCGGGCAGAGTCCTGAGAAAGGCCTCTAGGGCACGTGGGGCTCAGCTGGTGGGCAGAGGGCAGAAGAGAGGCGGTTCCTGGTGAGCAGCAGAGGGGAAGAAATGCACAGTCTCATCTTGGGGATAAGAAATGGAGAAGCCGGTTGGGGTGGGCAGATGAGGTGGAGAGTCAGGAAGGTTGGGTCTGACCCCAGAGACAGGCACGGGCACTGCTGAGGTCCCCCAGCACCCTGAGAGGCTGCAGGAAGCAGCCCAGGTCTTCTAAGGTCAGGGGACCCCGTGTTTTCTAGCCAGCTTCCTGTGGCCTGGTCAAACCCTTTGGCTTTTCTCTAAGACCTTTCAGGAGGGGAGAGATGAGCAAAAAGGCCAGAGAGGACAGGGCTGTGACCACTGGGCAGCACCCCTGCAGGTGGACAGAGGAAGTGAGGGGCCCCGGATGGCCTCAATGGCAGGGGGTGGGAGCCGGCAAGGACAGCCCAGTGACTTCCCTGACCAACAGGTAGACAAGACGGAGGACAAGTCCCTGGAGGAGCGAGGCCGCATCCTCATCTCCCTTAAGTACAGCTCGCAGAAGCAGGGCCTGCTGGTGGGCATTGTGCGCTGCGCACACCTGGCCGCCATGGACGCCAACGGCTACTCAGACCCCTATGTGAAAACGTGAGTGTGCGGCGGTGGCCTCCTTCCCCTCCTCATCCCAGGGATGGATGGGAAGCCCGCGTGGCCAGCTGTGGCCCAGCAGGCGGCACCTGGGGAGCCCCGAAGGGCAGTGGGTACTGCTGCATCTGTCTACAGGGCCGGGTCGTCTTGGGTGCTCCTTTGGCAACTTGGGTGGTGAGTGTGGCCAGCCCGTTTCACAGGTGGAGAAACTGAGGCCCAGAAAAGCTGGAGTGGCTTCCCAGGATCACACGGAGAAGAGTTATCTCCTAATGCCATAGTCAGGCCTCTCTTGTGACTCTGGGGCCCAGAGTCATGAGCAGGTTGGCGACCACCTTCGCTGCTTGGGGCTCTTCACAAACAGACTATAGTCTGAGTTCTTAGGCAGACTGTCCTGAAAGGAGGTGAGGGTGCCCAGGGGGCAAAGAGGGGACACTGAGGAGGCCCAGGAACTGAGGCCATGAGCACAGCTTGGCCCCACAGGGAGATCAGCGCTTCTCTTGGTACAGTCCTGAGACACCATGCCCATTGGCCACCGTCAGATTTCTGTCACTTTTTAAATCATGTCAAAAATGATGCAGCCTTTTTAGAGAGCAGCTGGAAGTTCCTCAAAAGTTAAGCCCAGAGCTGCCACATGACCCAGAAGTTTCCCTTCTAGGTTTACACCAGAGAGCACGGAAAACACGCCACACAGAACCGTGTCTATGAATATTCATCATGGCATCATTCATAATAGCTAAAAGTAGAAGTACCCCAAATGTCCCCATCTACTGATGAACAGATAAATAAAATGTGGTTTTAGCCATACAATGGAATACTACTCTGCCGCTGAAAGTAATAAAGTACAAGTTGAACATCCCTAATCCCAAAATCAGAAATCCCAAATCTGCCAGATGTGGTGACACACACCTGTAATCCCAGCAACTGGGGTGGCTGAGGCAGGAGGATGACAAGTTCGAGGCCAGGCTCAGCAACTTAGTGAAACTCTGTCTCAAAATAAAAAGGACTGGGGATGTGGCTCAGTGGTAAAAGGTCCCTGGGTTCAATTCCCAGTACCAACAAAGAAACAAAGAAGAGCAGAGGCCCAGGGCCGTGGGCAGGGAAGTCAGGATAAAATGGGGAGCAACTGCAGAAGGCACTGGGCTTCTCTTAGGGGTGATGCAAATGTTCAACAAGTGCTTGGGATGGTTGTGCATTTCCTGAATATACTAAGAACCATTGGTTGTAGACTTTTAAAGGGTGCATTCTTCAGTATGTGAATTATATTTCAATAAAGCATTGATTGGGATTAAGCAATTGAATTACCCACAGCTCTAGGAGCAGAGCTCATACATAGAAGGGGACAGCTACATTGTTGAAAAAGCTCAGGCTCCCAGAAAACGGTACTGAGCACTACCACTTGAAAACCAGCGAATTGGGCCCTGGCCTCAAAAAAAAAAAAAAAATAGCAGAACAATGTATTCGGGTGTATTAGAGACCTCAGTGTGAGAGGAAACTGCAATTGTTAGAAGACCACCAGAAAACTTTTTTGGTATCAAAAATGGAACCCAGAGGGGGGCTAACCACTGAGCCACATCCCAGCTCTTTTTATATTTTATTTAGAGACAGGGTCTCGCTAAATTGCTTAGAGCTTCGCTAAATTGCCAAGGCTGGCTTTGAACTCTCCATCCTCCTGCCTCAGCCTCCCAAGCTGCTAAGAGCATGCGCCACCCGGCCCGGCCCAGGAGGCTGTCTTTATGACATTGGAGAGAAAGTTGGCAGTGTCCAAGACAATTGGAAAAGGTGTGTTCTTGTCGGCCACCTTATCTTCCTTCCAGGTTTCTGTCCTGGACATCTACGTGCAGGTGGAAAGCTGTTTGTGGCAGAGTCATTTGCAATAGCCACGAACTAGAAATAGCCAAACCTTTGTCAGCAGAATAGACTAATAGAATGTTCCCGGTGAGCAAAACGAAGTGTCGTGCTGTTGAAACGAACAGATCGGCGCTAGATGAATCAACGCRATCAGCTGCCCAAAACGTGCTGAGCCAAAAGCCAACCACACAACTGTGCACGCGACGCGGCACTGTGTATGTAGTTGRCTCTCCATATCCGTGGGTTCCGCATCCTTGGATTGAAAATGCTATTTGAAGGAAAAACTGCAACCCCCTGGGCTTCTTTACCTGGCACTTTCCCTTAAGCAATAGGGTGTAGCAATTTTTTTTTCTTGTGGGGTTAGGGATCTAACCCAGACCCTTGTGCACGCAAGGCAAGCACTCTACCAACTGAGCTCTATCCCCAGCCCAGTGTGCAACACCTCTTTACACTGCATTAGGTATTGTAAGGAATCAACAGTGACAGAGTACAGAGAGGGTGTGCACAGCTGGTGTGCAAATACTAGTTTTTTTTAAATCTATCTACCTACCTACCTATCTATCTATTTATGAGTGTTTGGAATTGAACCCGGCTGCTCTACCAAGGGGTCCAGTGATCCCTCTCCAGGGACAAAAAGCTCTGCCAAACCCTGCTGGCTTGATCTGCATCCCATGACCCCTCCCCATCCCCTATCTTTCCCTTGGTTATAATTCCAGATACCTGAAGCCAGATGTGGACAAGAAGTCCAAACATAAGACAGCCGTGAAGAAGAAGACCCTGAACCCAGAGTTCAACGAGGTACGAGGGCCTGCTGGAGCCTCACGAAGGGCACCCCTCTCCTGGGGTGGGTGGGGGGGCCCGAAGGGGCTGAATTCTCAAAAAGCCACGGCAGGAGCCGGAGGGTGGTGGGAGAAGGAGGGTGGGAGCCCCGGCTGTGGGAGGGGGGTTGAAGCGTCTACTGGCCGGGCTGCACCCGGACACAGTGACGCACATGGGGAATTTCTGGAAACCTCTTCAGAGGATCCAACTGATGGAACTGCGGCCATGTTGGATGTAGGGGTGGAAAGAGGGAAGCTTTGAGGGGACTCCTGGGTTCCTAGATAGGAGACAGGTACGGGGAGAGGGATATGAAGAAGATGGGAGAAGCTTTGGGTGGGGCATGAGGATTCAAGATACCCTATGACCTTGGTTGGGGGGGGAATACCAGGTGGATAACTAGGTCCTCAGCACAGGGGGTGGGTACAGCTGGTGACAAATCTAAGGGGGTCCCCCACCAGAGAGAGGCATCATAGAGGCCCTCAGGCAGAGCCTGAGCCACACCGGGGATTCAGGGCAGGCAGAAGAGGCTGAGGAGCTGCTTCCAGAGAGGAGGGGATATCAAATTTGGAAGGTCCCAAAAGCTGGCAGGAGAGAATGTTCCTCAAAGGCAGCCCTGGACAGCAAGGCCAGCCCGGGTAAAGTCAAAAATGATAAGGGCTCCTTCTGTGCACTGAGGCAGGGTCAGGGGGCCTGCAGGCATCTGGAGAGAAGAGCTTCAGGAACCGAGGAGCAGATGGGCGCAACCCCAATCCTCCTGCTCCCTCCTCCATGCCCTTACCCCATCTCAGACCCCTCCTGGCCATGTGGCCTTGGCCCTGACACTCCCCTTCTGGCCAGCAGGAGTTCTGTTATGAGATTAAGCATGGGGACCTGGCCAAAAAGACTTTGGAGGTCACCGTTTGGGATTATGACATTGGAAAATCCAACGATTTCATTGGTAAGAAGAGGGTGTGATGGGAATGCTTTTGAGTCAATTGCTCGTCCTGGGTTTGGACAATGGCAGTAGCTCTGAATCAGGCCACAGCCCCTCCTCACAGGCCTCTGGAGAAAGCTGGGGCTGTGGACCACTTGCCCCCAATGTATGGAGCCTTAGATATTATTCAGCCTGTCCCCAGGGAACAGGCGACGGGCCCAGAGAGGGAAAGAGCCCTGGGAGGGCCACAGAGCAGTCTGTGAGGGAGCTGGGACAATGCTGGTCAGCAGCTGAGGGTGGACTGTGAGTCCACATGGCCCCTGGCTCCTGGTGGCTATGACAACTGGGCACAGTGCCCTTCTCTCCCTTTTCTGGCCCCCATTCCTTGCCCCTCAGAGCACAGAATCTGGAAGGGAGCACCTACCCAAGGGCCCCCAGGGAGTCAGGTGGTCCCTGTGTCCCTGGCCGCCCCTCTGACCCCCCTGCAGGCGGTGTGGTTCTAGGCATCAATGCCAAGGGCGAGCGCCTGAAGCACTGGTTTGACTGCCTGAAGAACAAGGACAAGCGGATCGAGCGCTGGCACACGCTCACCAACGAACTCCCGGGGGCTGTGCTTAGCGACTGACTGCCCCTCCTGCTGCCATCTGCCCCTGCCACCTGGGCCCCACACACAGGCCTGGCCCTGGGCTCCCTCACATGCCACCAAGGGCTGTGGCTCCCACACTGGGCAAGATCCAGGATGCCTGCTCGGACACACGGCCACTACAGCCCCAACTTGGAGGACACAGAGGGAGCACCTCGCCACTCCAAGGGGCAGGGAGGACGGACCCTGGAGACCAGGGAGAACTGGGCCTGCTTTCAGCCCCCTGGGGCCCTGGAGGGCTGGCGGTGGGAGAAGGCCTGGGCCTCAGCACCTGCTAGGGCAAGGGGACAGGGCCACCCAGGGGCGAGGGTCCTTCAGAGGTCAACAGTAAGGCACAGGCTGAGAGGGCAGAGGTGAGGGGCGCTCTAAGCGGAGCCAAAGAGAGCAGAGGAGGGAGATTTCCACCACATCCGTTCCTCTCCAGCATCAAGGGGCAGGTGGAGGTAGTCCGTGAGCAGAGTCCCAGAGACTCTGAGAATGAACAGGGGCACATTGGCAGGTGCTTCACTCACTGGTCTATAAGCTGCTGGGGGTGAGACGTGAGGCCTGTCTTCCAGGAGCTCCACCATCTAGTCAGGGAGCTGGACACAAACCATTACGATAGAGGGTTAAGGAATGCAAGACCGGCCCAGCCTGTGCACCAGTGCGGTGGACACTGCTAGCAGCTGTGGGGAGGGGCAGGGCGGGCTTCCTGGAGGAGGCGGTGCCTCAGCAAGGCCTTTAAGGGTGAGTGGGCCTTTTGGGGCAGAAATGAAGGGCTGTCCAGGCAGGGGGAATGATTTGCAAAGGCCGGGAGAGGAGTAGAAGGTGATGGGACCAGGCAGCCGTGCGGACCCTGGGGTTTGGTAAGTTGGGCAGGAGCTGGGCTTATGGCAGGTGGTGGGAAGTGGTGGAAGCATCATGATGTTGGCTCAGAGTGGTGTCCTGTCCTCAGACCCAGCTCTCCCACTCTGACCTCTTTTCCTGAGGGACCTCAACGATGGACCATGCCTCTGGTTCTTTCCACCATGGATCCAGTTGGCCACAGAGGAGAAGAGGGTCCCTCACACATAACAAGAAGCAACATTCCTCCTGTCCTCTTCCCTCTCCCCTCCCTGCTGGGTTCAAGCTGGGTATTGGGGCCCCTCATGGTTGCTCATGATATCCCCGGTCCTACCACAGCAATGATGTCCCTTTCCGGGGTACTCTGTGTAGGCCTATGGGACTGGCTCTGTCCTCCAGGAGCTGATCTTATTCTCCAAGAAGGGGTTTAAGAGCATCTCAATCCTGGGGCCTTCAGGAATGCTGGATAAACAAATGCAAAGCCAAGGAGTCGCAAAGCCCACTGTGTTCAACCCATCAGTGCATAACGGGTCACGAAGGCCCAGAGAGGGAAAGTCACCTGCCCAAGGACTTGCAGCCCTAGCATATCTGGAACGGGGACTTGTGGCCACTCCAACCCAGAACTCTGAACACCACATTTCAGGGAAAGTAGGGAGCAAAGTACACAGGGTAGGGGCCGCCAGCTGCCATCGCAGGGCTTGCCCCTGTCTGCTGCTCACCCACACAGCTGCCGGGGCTCCCAGGAAGGAGGGCTGGACCTTGTGCTGCAGACACAAAGCACATCACCCATCCAAGGTTCAGAGGGATGATTCAAGTCCAAGTGCCCCTCAGTCCTTTCCCAGTCACCAGGGAAGACARAACTCCAGCCTCCCTCCCCCCACAGTATCTGACCTCCCTTGTTGCTCAAGGAGACTTGGTTTCCCCATCTTAGTGGTCAGCAAACATTGTCCCTAATAAAATTTCACAACCCTATAAGATGGGTGGAGTGGTCACCACCATTTTATAGATAAAATAGGTGCAGAGAAGTTGAGTAGTTTGCCAAGGCCACATAGTTGGGAGGAGGTACACTAGGAGGCAAACACAGACTCCTTGATGGATTGGGGGTCAGGACTCCCCAGAGGTCCTTCTCTCCTGGGATGTTGGGGATTCAGTAAAATCTGGTGCCACCTCACCCTCTAGTTGGCTTTGAAACCATCTGTGCCACTTAGGGCTCTATCTACCAAAGCCCACACCCCTGCCCTGGAATTCACCTGCCCCCTTGGCCTCTGAGTCTGTGATCAAGGGGAAAAGGGCAAGGAAGGAGACTCTGTGGGGCCTAAGGTGAAAAGTGGCCTACTTTTAAGGGACCTTTGTCTAGTTGAGCTGAGTATCTTCTCAGCTTAGAGCCTCAGCAACCCGAGAAGAGGTGGAAGAGCTAAAAGGGGYTTTGAGTCCCACCTGGTATGACTTCCTCATTGGACACATGGGAACTGAGGCCAGCAAGGGGAAGGAAATCAGCTGAAACAAACCAGGATTGCTGGCATCCAAGCCAGGGCCCACCACTGCCACAGGCTATGCAAAAGTGGGCCTGCTCCTGAAAGATAGTTGCTGATCACAGGAACAGTCGGGCTAGGAGGCGGGACTTCTGGCCAGCTGGCTCAGGTGCAAGCTGGGGCGCAGGTAGGAGGGCTCTAGGAAGTGACAGAACCTTGTCCAGGATCCTGGCGCTGTTCTAAACCCAGGCACAAGAAAAAGCACTTTGAGAAGCTGCAGAATTGTCTCTGCCTTTGACCCCGAACGGGCGTCTTTTCCCTAATTCATCAACCCTACAAAGATAAGAAATCTAATGCCAAAAAAAAAAAAAAAAATCATAATCATCCCGAAGTCAGGTGTCACTCACCAGGGGGTCTCCCGAAGCGCTGCGTCCACCTCGCGCCCTGGTCTCCGCCCCGCCCACCACCACCACTAGCCAATCCCCGACGGGCCGGTCTTCCAACCGTGAGGCGGTAACCTTCTGACCTCTAGTGGCGAGAGCGAGGAACTGCACCTCCCCCGCCAGCCCGCCGAGCCCGGGCCGTGCATGTCCTGCCCTTTGTTCATTTTCAAACCGAGTGAACCTCCCAATGCATGGACTCTGGCTGTCGTCGACGCAGACTGTCGTGCACTGCTTCACACCGTTTTGCTACCACGTGTCGGCTGCAGAAACTGTCCTCAAATTGCAGCCCCACAATTTTTGTACTTTCGTCTGACCTACCCAAAGGTGTCCTTTTTAAGTCTTATTTGTTAATATTTATAATGACATATAATCCAAAGTAAATGGAACGTCGTATTGCGATCATATTGACTTAGGAGATTCTCATTTTTAACAGATTTGGCGGAATGAGGGGGAAAAGTAACGAACTTAGCACACTGTCTCATTTACTCTTCACCAATAATCCATTTGAGGCGGTGACCCAAGTTCCTGATGGGGAAACTGAGGCTCAGAGTGGTTAAAATATGTGTGCAAATCACATAGCTGGTCAATGACAAAACCAGGATTCCAGGACCACAGTATGTGACGTTTCTATCCATTCATTCATCGAGATCATCAACAAGCAGCAAAAACAATAATGATGTATGAGAAAGCAAAAAGAAAAAAAAAAAGATGAGTATAAAGGAATCAGGTTGGGACGGGAGATTGTGCTGAAATTGGGAGGTCAGGTGGGCCTCCAAAGACTTTTCAGCTGAGACTTGGAAGAGGAGAAAGAGCTGTGGGAATACCTGGAGAGAATACCAGGTGGAGAGAATCCCCAGGACCTCTGGAGGCAAGAGGAGGGCTTGGCCAGTGTGACCAGAGCAGGACAGGACAAGGGAAGATGACAGATGAGAGCAGAAGGGACAGGGACAGGGGAGAATGGGGTGGGGTCTCATAGTATGTTAAAAAAGACTGGTTTTCACTCTGAGATGAGGTCTGTCCTCATTTCTAACTGACTACCTTGTAGAGATCGAAAGACTGCCCAGTAGAAATTAAACCTGTAATCTGGGGCAGATAATCAGGCCCAATGTCCAGAGCAGTGGTAGCTGGGTTCTAACCAGGCCCTGCTACCAGTGACTTTGATGGAGGTTCTGGCTGCCAGCCTCCCTTAGCAACCACCTGTGGGTTCACTCGATTTTCCAGGCCTCTAGCCCATTCTCTGAACTACCTGATACCCTTCCAGTGCATTTTCTTTTCTACCTGTGTTAACCAGAATGAGATCTTGTTCTTTGTAACAATGGGCCCTGCCTGGTGCTCTGATGTAATCTGGACATTTAGGTCTTAACTCTCATACCATCGCTTCATGAGGCCAGCCCTCAACAAACCTAGTCATGTTCTCCCTGTCTCCTGCTTTCTTTTCGTCATGGTCTTCATCATCAAATTCACATCCTCACTCACCTTGATTTTATTGTGAGACAGGGTCTCACTAAATTGCTGAGTCTGGCCTCAATTTTGATCCTCCTGCCTACAGCCTCCAGATTTGCTGGGATTTACAGACATTTGCCACTGTGCCAGGCACGTACTCTTTTTAAAAATAGCTTTATTGACATATACTTGATATACAAAGAATGGTACATAGTTAATATGCACAGTATGATGACTTTGGACATAGGCAAACCAGGCATGATAATGTTATCCCAATCACAGAAACGGATGTATCCAACCTATCCCAAAGTTTCCTTGTGTCCCTTTGGACTGTGATTATGGACATAACATGTGACGTATTCTTTTAACCAATTTTGAAACACACAATACAGTATTGGTAATTACAGGAGCTGTGTCACATGACAGACCTCTAGAATTCATCCACCCAGCAAAACTGAAATTTTTACCTGTTGAACCACTTCCCATTTTCTCCACCTCCAGCYTCTGACAACCACTATTGTATTCTTTACATCTATAAATTTGGCTCCCCTCACACACAGCCCCCCACCAGTATGGGGATTAAACACATGGGCAAACTACCACTGAGCTACATCTCTAGTATTTTTTTTTTTAAAGAGAGAGTGAGAGAGGAGAGAGAGAGAGAGAGAATTTTCAATATTTATTTTTTAGTTCTCGGCGGACACAACATCTTTGTTTGTATGTGGTGCTGAGGATCGAACCCGGGCCGCACGCATGCCAGGCGAGCGCGCTACCGCTGAGCCACATCTCCAGCCCCGATCTCTAGTATTTTTTGAGACAGGGTCTTGCTAAATTGCCTAAGCTAGCCTCAAGCTTGTAATCCTCCTGCCTCAGTCCCTCCACCCCCACCCAAGTAGCTGGGATTGCAGGCAGAAGCTCTCATCTGCCTCACTTTGACTATTTTTGATACTTCATATAAATGGAACCATATAGTATTGGTCCTGTGACTGATTTATTGCATGTAGCATAATATCCTCCAGTCCATCCATGTTGTTGCAAACGGCAAGATTTCCTTCTTTTGGGGCTGGAGTTGTGGCTCAGTGGTAGAGCACTTGCCTAGCATGTGTGAGGCACTGGGTTCGATTCTCAGCATCACATTAAAAAATAAAAAATAAAGATATCATGTCCATGTACAGCTAAAAATATTTTTTTAAAAAAACCAGAAAACCTTTATTAAAAAAAAAAAAAAAGATTTCCTTCTTTTTTAAAGACCGAATGACATTTCATTGTATGTGTCTAGCACATTGCYTTATCCACTGACCTGTCCATGGGTTGCTATAGCACACTCACTTCCTCAGCTGATTCATCAGTGTGGAAATGATCCAAAATGGTGGCCTCAGACCCACGTTTGAGTGGACATTCAATTATTTGGCTCTCCACAGCTACCTACTAACACTATGTTTCTTAGTTTATATTCTCAGGACAGAAATGACTCAGTCCAAGTTATGACTCACTTCCTTGGGTCAAAGGGCAAGGGTTGACCTTACATCGTCAAACCCATGGCTACAGGCAGGATGCACAGGGTCTTTCACAGGAAGTCCCTGAGTCACTAAGAGGAATGAGAAGTGCTAGCCAAGGGAAAGAAGGGACAGAAGTCAACAGTCACTGCCACAGTACAGAGACCATTCTAAAGACAATGAATAGAAAACAGTCAGTCAAACAAAACAGTGAGGAGTAAGGGCGCATACCTGTAACAGGTCCAGTGACTCAGGAGGCTGAGAGAAGCAGGAGAATCCCAAGTTCAAGGCCAGCCTGGGTAACTTAGTGAGACCCTCTCTCAAAATAAAAAATAAAAAGGATGGAGGATGTAGCTCAGTAGTACAGCACAGTTGGGTCCAATCCCAAGTACCACAAAAAAATAAACATTGAGGCTGGGCATGGTGGCGCACATCTGTAATCCCAGCAGCTGGGGAGGCTGAGGCAGGAAGATCGTGAGTTCAAAGCCAGCCTCAGCAATAGCGAGACACTAAGCAACTCAGTGAGACCCTGTCTCTAAATAAAATACAAAATAGGGCTGGGGATGTGGCTCAGTGGTTGAGCGCCCCTGAATTCAATGCCCAGTACCAAAACCAAAAAATAAACATTGAAAATAAACAGGGAAATTACCTCAATAATTCACAGAATGAATAAATTCCCTTATGGTCCATCTAAAGGCTAGAAATTTATGCAGCAATTTTCATTTTTAATGATGAATAATGGCTGGTTATCTGGGAAATGTGTGATGATGTGAAGGGAACAAAGAATTAAGTGTAGAGTGCAATCTTTTTACTTTTTCAATGTATGTTATTGTGGTAAAATATACATTAAATTTACCATTTTAATCTCCCCCACTACCCTTACTAGGGATGGGTCCCAGGGGCACTTTACCACTTACCTACATCTCCTGGCAATTCTGCCAAATTTTTATTAAAGCAGGGTCTCCCTGAAGCTGGCCTTGAACTTGGGTTCAAGTTTGCTAAGTAACTGGGATTACAGAGAACCACTATACCTGACTCCTGTTGTTTTTATGCTAAAATGTTCTTAATTTTGATGAAGACAAATGTTAGGTATCTATTTTTTTATTGCCTGTGCTTTGGATATCATATCCAAGAAGCCACTGTCAAATCAAATGTCATAAAGGTCTTCCCATTTTCTTCTCAGAGGTTTGAGGGTTATGTTTTTGATCCATTTTGAGTTCAATTTTCTATATGGTATATGGTGAGGATCCAACTTCTTTCTTTACCAGGGGATATCCAGTTTTCCCAGTATTATTTGTTGAAAGATTTTCTTCCCCAATATTTGATGTTGGCACACTTTTCAAAAAATCAATTGACCATAGATGTAAGGATTTATTTTTGGGCTTTCTATTCTAGCCCAGTGGTCTATATGATAGTCCTTATATTAGTATGTGCTATTTTGATTACTGCAGATTGCTTTTCATTTTTTTTTTTTTTGTACCAAGGATTGAACCCAGAGTGCTTAACAGCTGAGCCATACTCAAGCCCTCTTTATTTTTTGAGACAGGATCTCACTAAGTTGCTTAGGGCCTCACTAAGTTGCTGAGGCTGGCTTTCAACTTTCAATCCTCCTGCCTCAGCCTCCCAAATCACTGGGATTACAGGYGTGCACCACTGAGCCTGGCTACTGCAGCTCTTTGGTAAGTTTCAAAGACACTTGAAAATTAGTTCTCAATTATTTTCTTCTTTTTCAGAATTGTTTGGATTATTTGAATTACCTTAAAATTCCCTATGAATTTTAGGATGGACTTTGTTATTTCTGGGGGGGGGGAACACCCTTGGGGGGCTGGGGATGTGGCTCAAGTGGTAGCGCGCTCGCCTGGCAAGCATGAGGCCCTGGGTTCGATTCTCAGCACCACATAAAAATAAAGATATTGTGTCCACCTAAAACTAAAAAATAAAAATATTTTAAAAAAACACCCTTGGAATATTTAGACATTACACTGAATCGGTAGATCACTTTGGGTGACAATATTGTCTTCCAATCCATGAACACAACTTCCATTTATGTTTTTGTCAACTTCTTTCAGCAATGTCTTCAGGTTTTCAGTGTGCAAGTCTTTCACTTCCTTGGTTAAATTTATTCCTAAGGACTTTATTCTTTTTGAGATATTATAAAGATAATTTTTTGTAATGTTTGTTGCTAGAGTATAGAAACGCAACCGATTTGTGCTGACTTTGTGTATTGTTGGACTGGTAACTCTTAGGGTTTTTCTACATAAACATGTCACCTATCAACAAAGATAATTTTACTTCTTGCTTTATAATTTGGATGCCTCTTCTTTTTTCTTGAATCATTGCTCTGGGTAGATTTTTTAGTTTTATGTTGCATAGAAGTGATGAAAGTCATCTTTGTCTTGTTTCTG